TATATATATATATATATATATATATATATATCTGAGAATGTAATGAGAATGGCGTCTCGCGGTCTCTGACTGCGCACGCCTCCTGTCGAACTCTCTGCGTTAGCAGAGAAGAAGAACCTGGACGAGGCTTTGCCGAAGGGCAAGGTTTCGTCCGGGGAGGTAGACAGGGCCTGAACCCGTCTAATCGGCTTCAAAGGCTATTTTTTTTGGCCGAGCCTACGGGCTCAGAGAAAACCACAATAAAACCGGCCTTGTGCCATATTCGTTTCCCGTGGGTGAAATGATAAATACCGAATGTAATGAGAACGAAAATAATGTATAAATTCTAACGTTCACAGAAGTAATTCAAAAGAGAGCTTAATACCGATAGTAGAGCAATAATTATTTATTATAATTTTTTCATATAGACAAAAACAATTAACTCACTACAAAGATGCAACTTCGTTTCGGTGCATATAATTGCACTTCGACTGGTGAGAACCAAAATGGTTATGAACAATTTTGCTTGTAAGCAGGCCCCTACGTGGAATATCATTTTTCTATTTGTTAAAAAAAAAAACAATATATTTTAAGAGTGGACGTATAAGGATAAAGAAAAAATAGGAGACGCAAAAAATTTGATAGAGTGAAACAATATTGTTTGTTGATAGCAGTTTGGTGCAGGATTAAGTTGCATCTTTGTCGTGAGTAAATTATTTTTGTCTATATGAAAAGATAATCATAAATAATTATTGCGCTACTATTGGTATTGATCCCTCTTTTGAATTCATGAAGTGAGCAATAGAATATATATATATATATATATATATATATATATATATATATATATATTATTTTCGTTCTCATTACATATTGATGGTTAAGTCGTAAAAAAAGCGTAATAGCAAAAGAAAGCGAGAATAAAGGGCTAATTGTCAGTTGCAAGAAGACAGAAAGTATGGTTCTAAACAAAAGAAAAAAAACTCAAGATTCGAGTTACGAATTGAAGATATCAACATCAAGAAGGTGCGGAAATTTAAATATCTGGGAAGAGTTTTAAGAGAAGATGGAAAATGTGACACCGAGATCCGAGCATTGAGCGAGCGAAAAGCGTAATCCAAAGCAGTTGCTGAAAAACGTAAAAAATTAGGAACAAAGCATACCGTGCTGCACTGCTATGTGATATCCATCTTCTTATATGGCAATGAATGTTGCTCATTCTCCTAACCGATTAGGAAATAAGGGAAGGTAGTAAAAACATTGTTCTACAGAAAGATACTGAGAATTACGGAGTGAGAAAGCATCAAGGAAGTCTTAAATAAAATGGCAACAGAAAGAATACATATACCCAGAATTAAGAAAAGAGCTGAAATACCTTGGAAACGTAATGAGGAAGGACGGCTTCGAAAACTTAAGCTTCACGAGGAATACTGATTGCAAGAGAGAGATAGAGAGAGAGAGAGAGGGGGGGAGAGAGAAAGAGAGGAAGGCAGCTAGCCACTTAACTGACGTGCATATTCCACCTCTACAGCAACGCTATCCTAAGATAATTGGTGACCCTACCAAGGTGCTGAGAAACTGAAAATTATGTTAGAACCCCCCCCCCCAAAAAAAAAGAGAGCTTGGTTGCTATGTGATATCCATTGTCTTATATGGTAGTGAACGCAGCACAATCATTCCACGGATGAAGAGAAAACAGGAGACAGTAGAAATATGCTTCCACAGAAGGATGAGACGTAGCAAATTGTAGAAGATGTTGAAGAAGGCTAGCAATATAAGAGCCGTACTAAAATAACAAGAATTATCCGTAGACATGGCGAGAAGAAACGTGAACAATCATCCTTCGTAGGTTAAATAAGCAGTTCAAATGTTACCTAGATTGACCGACAGCTGACAAAATGGCGATGGTGTAACGACGGAGTGTGTGTATTATTAGGTTGGTGCAAAAATAATGTCGTTTTTTGACGTTAAGTTGAACGTCAAAAAACGACATTATTTTTGCATCAACCTCATAATAACAAAAATGACGGCATTAGTTTTAATTTTGATGTTGTAAATAATCAAAACAATTCATTAAAGAATTGATTGAATCAAAACTGGAAATCGTTTTTTTTTCTTTTTCTTTTTTTTATCTTTTTTTATGGAATACACAATTATACTTAATTATGGGGCAAATTCAGGAAAATTAATATTAAATGTATAGATTGCAAATTATTCAGTATCTGTCTATATTTCTGGGATGAGGTATTATGTACGCTATTTACATTATTCGGGCTATTGTCTTGATCTTTGTCGCCATATTAATTATAACGTTTCGGCCGTTGTACGCTCTGCCCTTCTTCAGGTGGTTGGACTGTCGAACTGAACATTTATTTCTTGTTTATGCTAGTTATCAGTTATCTTCTGTTAATTCCCCTCTCCAAATTCTCCACTGCCTTGACATCCATTAAACATGACACGTGGAACTAGAACAGTCTACACCAGTGAGCGAAATAAAAGGTTCCGTTCGAGATTCCAACCACCTGAAGAATGCCGGAGCGTACAACGGCCAAAACGTTGTAATAAATATGGCGACAAAGATCAAGACAATAGCCCGAATAATGTAAGTAGGTTACATAATGCCTCATCTCAGAGATATAGACAGATTTTTTTCTGTTCTACAGTCAACGTTGTAATACAGGAAACGTAGTAATAAATATGCCGACAAAGACGGAATAATAAGTAATAGTAATAAATATGGCGACAGGAAACGTTGTAATAAATATGGCGACAAAGACGGAATAATAAGTAATAGTAATAAATATGGCGACAGAAAACGTTGTAATAAATATGGCGACAGGAAACGTTGTAATAAATATGGCGACAAAGACGGAATAATAAGTAATAGTAATAAATATGGCGACAGGAAACGTTGTAATAAATATGGCGACAGGAAACGTTGTAATAAATATGGCGACAAAGACGGAATAATAAGTAATAGTAATAAATATGGCGACAGGAAACGTTGTAATAAATATGGCGACAGGAAACGTAGTAATAAATATGGCGACAAAGACGGAATAATAAGTAATAGTACTAAATATGGCGACAGAAAACGTTGTAATAAATATGGCGACAGGAAACGTTGTAATAAATATGGCGACAGGAAATGTTGTAATAAATATGGCGACAAAGACGGAATAATAAGTAATAGTAATAAATATGGCGACAGGAAACGTTGTAATAAATATGGCGACAGGAAACGTAGTAATAAATATGGCGACAAAGACGGAATAATAAGTAATAGTAATAAATATGGGGACAGAAAACGTTGTAATAAATATGGCGACAGGAAATGTTGTAATAAATATGGCGACAAAGACGGAATAATAGGTAATAGTAATAAATATGGCGACAGGAAACGTTGTAATAAATATGGCGACAGGAAATGTTGTAATAAATATGGCGACAAAGACGGAATAATAAGTAATAGTAATAAATATGGCGACAGGAAACGTTGTAATAAATATGGCGACAGGAAACGTTGTAATAAATATGGCGACAAAGACGGAATAATAAGTAATAGTAATAAATATGGCGACAGGAAACGTTGTAATAAATATGGCGACAGGAAACGTAGTAATAAATATGGCGACAAAGACGGAATAATAAGTAATAGTAATAAATATGGCGACAGAAAACGTTGTAATAAATATGGCGACAGGAAACGTTGTAATAAATATGGCGACAAAGACGGAATAATAAGTAATAGTAATAAATATGGCGACAGGAAACGTTGTAATAAATATGGCGACAGGAAACGTTGTAATAAATATGGCGATAAAGACGGAATAATAAGTAATAGTAATAAATATGGCGATAGGAAACGTTGTAATAAATATGGCGACAGGAAACGTAGTAATAAATATGGCGACAAAGACGGAATAATAAGTAATAGTAATAAATATGGCGACAGAAAACGTTGTAATAAATATGGCGACAGGAAACGTTGTAATAAATATGGCGACAGGAAATGTTGTAATAAATATGGCGACAAAGACGGAATAATAAGTAATAGTAATAAATATGGCGACAGGAAACGTTGTAATAAATATGGCGACAGGAAACGTAGTAATAAATATGGCGACAAAGACGGAATAATAAGTAATAGTAATAAATAAGGCGACAGAAAACGTTGTAATAAATATGGCGACAGGAAACGTTGTAATAAATATGGCGACAAAAACGGAATAATAAGTAATAGTAATAAATATGGCGACAGGAAACGTTGTAATAAATATGGCGACAAAGACGGAATAATAAGTAATAGTAATAAATATGGCGACAGAAAACGTTGTAATAAATATGGCGACAGGAAACGTTGTAATAAATATGGCGACAAAGACGGAATAATAAGTAATAGTAATAAATATGGCGACAGGAAACGTTGTAATAAATATGGCGACAGGAAACGTAGTAATAAATATGGCGACAAAGACGGAATAATAAGTAATAGTAATAAATATGGCGACAGGAAACGTTGTAATAAATATGGCGACAGGAAACGTAGTAATAAATATGGCGACAAAGACGGAATAATAAGTAATAGTAATAAATATGGCGACAGAAAACGTTGTAATAAATATGGCGACAAAGACGAGGACAATAGTCCGAATAATGTAAATAGTGTGCAAATTATTCATGTTTTCTGTTTTTTGTTTTCTTTTTTTTTTTTTTAACAGTCTGAAAAAAATTGTATCCACACAGTGTGAAAGATTACAGAATCCATATTAGTCAGCTATCATGTGATTGTGAATACACTTTCGCATGTTGAGATGCACGAGCGAAAAATATTTGATGATTGGCCCTTTCTGTTATTTGGCGAATCATCCCTATTATTTTCTCTTCTGGTGTACAAATATCAATGAAACAGAAAGACGGTTCCATCTTATCAAGTGAATCGATGACTACCCAGGAAGCAAGTAAACTTGGCCAAAAGCGAGGCACAAAAAAACGGTTTGCGGTACAGAGGTACAAGAAGGTTAAAAGAAATCCGGCGTCTGTAGAGAAGGCGAAGGCTGAAGAGAAAATGGAGAGAAAAGACGTCGGAGATAATAAAAGAGTTGGTTGAAAGAGACTAGTAAAAAATAGATGATGGAGATGAAAGTCAATGAGGAAAGAAGAAGAAGAAGAGGAAGAGGAAGAAGAAGAAGAAGAAGAAGAAGAAGAAGAAAGAGGAAATAGAAAGAAGAAAATATGAAGTATGAGACAAAGGAAGAAAGTATGTTATTAAACAGAAGAGTGAAAAGTGGAAGAAGAAGAAGAAGAAGAAGAAGAAGAACTAAAAGAAATAAAAAGCAGGTAATTGACAAATTAAGCAAAATAGAGGCAAAGAATGAAGAAGAGTTGGATGAAGTTAATTAGTTAAAAGAAAATAAAAATGGAGAGAGAGAAAACGGATGAAAAGGAAAAAAGAAGGAAAGAATGAAGAAGCAGACGATGAAGAGAAGGAAGAAGAAAAAGAATGGGAAATAGAAAGAAGAAAATATAAAAAAATTAATGAATTCTGAAAAAGAAGAAAGAAAATGTTAATAGACAAAAGAGCGGAAAATTGAAAGTCGAATGAAGAAGAAGAAGACGAAGAAGACGAAGAAGAAGAAGAAGAAGAAGAAGAAGAAGGGGGAAAAGAAAGGGAAAAAGAAGAAAATAAAAAGATTAATGAAAAAATGAACGAAGGAGAAAAAAATTAATAGACAAAAAGCGAAAAATTGGAAGTCACGGGAAGAAGAAGAAAAAAGATTAAGGACTAAAAGAAAGAATAAAATAAAAAGGCTAATGAAGAAAGAGACAAAGGAAGAAAGTATGCTATTAAACAGTGAAAAAGTGGAAGTCACGAGAAGAAGAAGAAGAAGAAGAAGAAGAACAACAACAACAACAACAACAACAACAAATACTTAGAATAAAAAGCAGGTAAATGACAAATTAAGCAAAATAGAGGCGAAGAATGAAAAAGGATTTGATAAAGTTAATTAGTTTGAAAAAAAAAATGAAGGAAGAGAAAAGCAGATGAAAAAGAAAAAAAAAGGAAATAATGAAGAAGAGGACGATGAAGAAGATGAACACCACCATCACCACCACCACCACCATCATCATGAACAACAACAAAAATAACAACTGAAAAAATAATCCTAACGGCATTTTGGATGACTAAAATATCTCGAGGAAAAGAAATAAAAAAAATTGATTGATAACTCAAAATATATAACAAAATAATACAAAATATCAATAAATGTGAACATAAACAATAGATTTAGAAAAAAAAAAGAAAAAAAGAAACTAAAAAGTGTGCAATAAAAAAATGAAATGTTTCCCGATGAGATCCTTGATTGACGTCCGAGTCGGAACGGGTCTGTGGTTGCCAGAAATTCTTTCAATAAATTTGACAGCAAACAATATTAAGATTTCGAGAAAGGGGATATCCGGCATTTGCTCTCCTCAAAAGCTAAATAAGGTCAAAGGCCAGGAATGAAAAATATGAAGAGAAAAAGAGGAAAGAATTACTATTAATATGTGAACAGACGTAGATAGATAGATAGATAGATAGATAGATAGATAGATAGATAGATAGAACAGTTGTATATACATAGATACGAAAAGACGTAGATAGATAGATAGATAGATAGATACATAGATATGAATAGAATGAGATAAATATGAAAAACCAAGATAGATAGATAGATATGAACAAATGCAGATAGATAGATAGATAGATAGATAGATAGATAGATAGATATGAATAGAATGAGATAGATAAATATGAAAAGGCCAAGATAGATAGATAGATAGATAGATAGATAGATAGATAGATAGATAGATATTAACAAATGCAGATAGATAGATAGATAGATAGATAGATAGATAGATAGATAGATAGATATGAATAGAATGGGATCGATAAATATGAAAAGACCACGATAGATAGATAGATAGATAGATAGATAGATATGAACAGAGATAGATAGATAGATAGATGGATAGATAGATAGATATGAAATGACATAGAGAGATAGATAGATAGATAGATATAAACAAACGTAGATACATAGACATGCACAGACGCAGCTAGAGAGAGAGAGAGAAAGAAAGAAAGAAACAAAGAAACAAACAAACAAACAAACAAACAGAGAAGATGAACTTTATATAACAAATACATATTCGAATACTTCAAAAAGTCAAGATGCATTGAGCTAAATCCTATGAGCTCACCATTATTTAGACCTTGTGTCAGACTCAGCTTTTAAAATGAAAAAATGCAGAAAACAGCGAGGGACAGTAGTAAAAAAATAACGAAATATGTTGAAAAGCGTGGAGAGCCATGATCGATCCACGTCCGGAAAGAATACGGTACATAGAAGTTATTAATCCCTTAGTGTACCTTTCATTATTATTATTTGAGCAGTAGCCCACTACCTTGAGTAGCTCTCGAGACTTATTGGAGGAAGTTTAGTCCAATAATTCTTCGGCCTTCTTCAGGTGGTTGGAATGTCGTACTTAACCCTTTATTTCGCTCACTGAGGTAGACTGTTCTAGTTCCATGTGCCATGTTTAATAGATGTCAGTTATCAGTTATCTCCTGTTAATTCCCCTCTCCAAGTTCTCCACTGCCTTAACCGGGTATTGAACTCAGACTCAAGGGCACATGGCACAATGGATAAAAGCTTTAGTGAGATTCAGTGACAGGACCCAAAGAGTGTGAGTTCAATATCTGGTTAAGGCAGTGGAAAACTTGGAGAGGGGAATTAACAGGAGATAACTGACATCCATTAAACATGGCACGTGGAACTAGAACAGTCTACCCCATTGAGCGAAATAAAGGGTTTAGTTCGACATTCCAAGCACCTGAAGAATGGCGGAGCGTACATCGGCCGAAACGTTGTAATAAATATGGCGACAAAGATGAGGACAATAGTCTGAATAATGTAAATAGTTTACATAATACGTCATCTCAGAAATATAGACAGATACTGAAGGGCCGAAACGTTGTAATAAATATGGCGACAGAGATGAGGACAATAGTCCGAATAATGTAAATATTGAGAATAATAATTATAATAATATAGATCAATAAATATCAAAACTGGTTGACTTAATTAGAAATCAGATAACAATGTATCTTCTTACCATTTTTACCATCAATTGCACTGCTGTCTGAGAGACGTCATTTCTGTCCATAATTTCCATGTTGCAATGTTCTTCGAGACGGTTCTAAGTCCCCGATTAATAATGTTGGCGTTTTCGAAATCTATTTCAGCTGTGTGTAAATGTTAAGAAAAAATTCATTTTCATTTTGATTTATTAGAACAACCATATCTCTTGTAGGACTGATATTACGGTGTTTGCTTCAGATGAATTCTTGAAGTCTCAGCAAAAATAAATGGCCCGGTGGTATTTCATTATACGAGAAGATTTTAGCTTTTCTAATGGCTCTATCTACCATTGGCTTGCATGATTTGTTTGAACAATTATCAGTGAGTCGCCATTCCTAACCAGTCATTTGTATTTTTTTAACCTTCGGGGCTAATATCGTTTATTCAGTGTCTGTCGATATTTACTGTTATGGTCCAGGTTAGGACCATGGAAGAATAACACGAACAAAAGTGTAGAAATAACGAAGGTATATGACACGAAATAATAATACAAGATGTGGAAGGTGTTAGTATGACTGTCAGTCTGGTCTGGAGTGAACAACTATCGGCCTGACTCGATTCGATATTTACTTGGCCCCCACGAGGGAAAGATGTGGCACAAGGCCGATTTTACGTGGATTTCCCGAGCCCGTAGTCTCGGCCAAAAAAATGCCCGTAGAACCCGTATAAACGAGATCGGGTTGGTCAACCTCCCCGAACGAGACTCAGAGGCAGAAAGTTCGACCCTCAAGTCGAGAAGCTCGGCTTTATTCGGTATCTAGCCCCCACCCACGAGGGTTGCATGTGGCACAAGGCCGAGTTTATCGTGGGTTTCCCGAACCCGTAGGCTCGGCCAAAAAATGCCCGTATAACCCGTATAAACGAGATCGGGTTGGTCATTTCTCCCTGAACGAGTCTCTGCCCTTCGGCGGAGCCTCGTCCGGGTTCCTCTCTGCTCAGAGGCAGAAAGTCCGACCGTCAAGTCGAGAAGCTCGGCTTGATTCGGTATCTAGACACCTCCCCCACGAGGGTTGCATGTGGAACAAGGCCGAGTTTATCGTGGGTTTCCCGAGCCCATAGGCTCGGCCAAAAAATGCCCGTAAAACCCGTATAAATGAGATCGAGTTGGTCATTTCTCCCCGAACGAGATCGGGTTGGTCATTCTCCAAACGAGATCGGGTTGGCCATTCTCGGCTTTATTTGTCCATCTCTCTTGAGAGGCGTAGTATACATAGTGTTAGGAAGAGTTCATTCTGTAGTTATAGGTAAGGCCCCATGACATTTTTTTAACAAGTTTCCGCGATATTCCGGTTTTTGAACTACTTTAAAGAAAGACACTCGTTCCATATTATTGATATTTTTTAAAATACCTTTCGACCTGCGTCTGTTTCATAATCACATAACTCATAAAGAGTACCACCGGGGCAAGCGAAGTATGTGATTCTTTTGTTGTTGTTTCCACAATACATATTTATTAATAACAACAACAACAAAAATTGAACGAACAAAGCTCTTTGCATGCTAAAGCTATTTATTTTTGTGGGGGATTTCTTGGAGAGATGGTGCACCAGAGATTGCGTTTTGTTGTTCTTGAGTCTCTTTCCGTATCAGACCCAAAGGTCTAACCACATCAGCAACAGTTTTAGTTTTTAAGTGCTACATTTTTTTCTCTTTCCATCCGCAGGTCTTTGTATTTGCTTAGTTTTTCAAAAGAACTTCGCACAGATGTTTTCGTCACTTGTTATGCACATGGCAATCAATGTGCAAACTTTTCTCTTTTCCATCTTTGATAATGAGATCTCGGCTGTTCGATTTTATTGACCGATTTGCGTTAATGGAAACATCCCAGAAGACGGTGGTAGTAGTAGTAGTAGTAGTAATAATAATAATTATTATTATTGTTATTATTATTATTATTATTACTACTACTACTATTACACTTCTATTCAGCTAGGCGTAATTCGGTTGAGAAGAAACTGGGAAGAGAGGACGAAAGTAAGGACAGACATACCAGGACGATTTGCTATATTTGTTGTGTAATTTGCGTGAAGTCGTCAGCATATTGTCCTTATATTAATATCTATATATCTATCTATCTCACTCTCTCTATATATACATCTAAATTCAATATTTATATCTATGTGCGTGCGTGTGCATTTTAATTAAAAATCTGATGAAACTTAACAAAAGCGAAACATTATTTTTATAAGCATTTCCTTTTTGTTCCTTAATCATTTCATCTGTTAACTTAAACCATATTTTATTTCAATTCACACTCAGACACGCACTCACACACACAAACACACACACACATATATATATATATATATATATATATATATATATAGAGAGAGAGAGAGAGAGAGAGATATGTGCGTGCGTATAAGTATATATGTTTCTGCCTGCCAGAAGAACATCTTATTCTATCATTCAGTTGAATTTAAACCATACTTAGTTTCAATTCACAGACACACACACACTCACACAGACATATATATATATATATATATATATATATATATATATATATATAGAGAGAGAGAGAGAGTGATGTGTGCGTGTCTGTGAGTGTATGTAAGTATATATCTACCTCTCTGCCTGTCAGATGAACAACTTCTGCCTCTCTTGATAAATTGTAAAATAAAGCAACAAGAAAAAAAGAGACAAAATTCATGAAAAAAAAAGAGTGAAAACGAAACTATTAACTATTAAACACAATTGGAAAGCAGAGACCAGCCGAAAGAAATAGCATCAGAAATTGAAAAAAACGACACATCTAAATAATATATATATATATATATATATATATATATATATATATATATATATATATACCCTAAGCCAAGAGTAAAAAAAAAACCCGGACGTGTTTTTTTTTAACTTTGGTTTAAATAAACAAACAAATGTCATGGCTTGGAAAGTAAATCAAGAAACATCAACAAGAGAAACTAAAATCCAAACGAAATTCCGAATGGTAAATATGAAAACCAATATGGCGGAATGTACTCAGTCACACGCGCTTTTTTTGTTTAACATCAGCCAACATCTGCAATTACTTTCTCTCTTCTCCGACTCATCAGTTCAGTTTTATTTCCTTGCCATTTCATATGGATGAAAAGAAATTCGAGCGTTTGGTGCCTTGACTAAATCCGATATTATTTTATCATCATGGTTTTTCTTTTCTAATTTTTGTTCTACTTTTTTATTTTTCTTTCCGCCATTACTCTGCCTCCATATTAGCAGTCTTATATATGTGTAAATGGAAAACATCTTCGGCGTCTCGCTATGCAATTTTCGTTTGCTGACTATTACTAGTATAACGATTCCATTTTTACTGATTGCCCTATTCTTTTATTACATTCGACTAAGCTTTGCTGCTCGAATACTTTTAGTCTTGTCTCTGCAGCAGAATATTTAACAAGCTCGTTTTGCAGACCATTACTATTGTAATGTTCCTCACTGGGTGCCTTCCACTTTTGGCTCTGTGTTCTACAGAGCTAAGCTCACCAAAGCTTCTAATCGGGGATCAATTGTCATTCCTGTCCTGTCCTTGTGGTATTCCTGAATTGATTTACTCCGTTTATTATTATTATTATTATTTTTATTTTCTTTGATTTCTGGCGTTTACACATTTCTTTCCGGGTCCCGCCCAGGGACCTAAGGTTAGAAATGGCATCATGACACTTTCCAATGACAAAAAAAAAAAAAAAAAAAAAAAAAAATTACATAGATAAAGCACTTCGTAAAGTGTGGGCTGTACTTGTTAGAAGAATTTTTTGTATCTCCTTGAGGCATGGATTTCCAGGAATCCCTTCAATTAGTCTACTGCAATCTTTTCCAACCAGTCCTAGGGCTCCAACTACAACAGGGATTGTTGATGTTCCCATATGCCACATTTTCGAGATTTCTATTTCAAGGTCCTTGTATTTTGACAACTTTTTGAATATCTTCAAAGATACATTGCAGTCAGCAGGGACTGCTATATCAACAAGGAGGCACCGTTTTTGTTTGTGGTCTTTAATAAAAATATCTGGGCGGTTGGCTTTGATTATTCTGTCGGTGTGTATTGTGTAGTCCCATAGAATGGTAACAGGTCCTATCTCATTATTATTATTATTATTATTATTATTATTATTATTATTATTATTATTATTTTCTTTGATTTCTGATGTGTACTCATTTCTTTCCGTGTCCCGACCAGAGACCTGAGGCCAGAAATAGCATCATTACTTTTTCTACAGAGCAGTTTTGAAAAAAAAATGAGCATAGTTTACATAGATAAAGCCCTTCGTAAGGTGTGGACTGTACTTATGAGTACAATTTTTTTTTGTATTTTTTTAAGAAATGGGCTACCAGTGATTTCCTCAATGAGTCTATGAGAATCTTTTCCAATCAATCCGTGAGATTCAACTACAACAGGGATCGTTGATGTCCTCCTGGGCCACATTCTCGAGATTTTGATTTAAAGGTCCTTATATTTTGATCGTTTTTTTTTTGTTTTTTTAAAGATCTTTAAAGATGCATTGCAGTCTGTGGGGACTGCCATGTTAATAAGTTGACATTTTTTGTCTCTACGATCTCTAATCACGATGACATGTTATTAGCTTTGTTTGTTCTGCTTGTGTCTGTTGTGTAGTCCCATAAAATTGTTACAGGTCCTATCTCCGTAACCGGGTCTGGGTGGTGTTCATATTAATTTCTTGCAGTTTCCTTTCCGTAAAAGTTCATTTTCTAGGTGTAGTTCAGATGTGGAACAAGGCCGAAATTATGGGATATCCAGTGAGGACCGCTCTAACTATTCAGTCGTAATTGATCGAGCGAGACAAGCTTGTTAACCATTACACCACGTCCAGGTGTTCAATAAACCTATTTTTAGCATTTTATCTCATTTTATATTATATTATTATTCAATGATGTTTACAACAGCTTTGTCCATATTGACCGTTTTCGTCAGCCATTTCACATTTTGTAAAATTAGTCGAGCGATCATCATTTCCTTTGATTTCTAATGTGTACTCATTTATTTCCTTTGATTTCTAATGTGTACTCATTTCTTTCCGGTTCCCGCCGTAGGACCTAAGGTTAGAAATGGCATCATGACATTTTCCACTGGAAAAAAAAAAAAAAAAAAATTACATAGACAAAGCCCGCCGTAAGATGTGGGCTGTACTCGTGAGAATAATTTTTTGTATTTCTTTATGGCGCCTATGCCTCAAAGAAATACAAAAAATTGTTCTCACGAGTACAGCCCACACCTTCCATGAATCCCTTCAATTACTCTACTGGAATCTTTTCCAAACAATCCGAGGCCTCCAACTACAACAGGGATTGTTGATGTTCCCATGTGCCACATTTTTTGAGATTTCGATTTCAAGGTCGTTGTATTTTGATAGCTTTTTGAAGATCTTCAAAGACACATTGCAGTCCGCAGGTACTTCCATGTCAATAAGGAGGCACCTTTTTTGTACGATCTCTGATAATAATGTCTGGGCGGTAAGCTTTGATTATTATTATTATCATCATCATCATTCGATTTCTGCTATGGACACACTACCTACCAAGTCTGCGGAAAGACCTAAGGCAGGTCGTGGTGTGTTGTTATGGCCACATTTAATGTTAATTTTTTTTTTTTTTTTTTTTTTTTATCTCCGATGAAGTTGCTAGCGTTACATAGACAAAGTTCTCCTTAGTGTGTGTGCTGTACTTAATAAGACAATTTTCTGTATGTCTCTTAAGCTGGGGTTTCCAGGATTCTTTCAATGTGTTGTTTTGTTCCATTTTTTATAATTCCAAGTGCACCTATTACCACTGGTATTATTCTTGTTTTCAATTTCCACATTTTTTTCTATTTCAATTTCCAGGTCTTTGTATTTTGATAGTTTTTCAAATTCCTTGGTTGCTATGTTACAATCCGCTGGACAAGCCATATCAATTAGTAGGCAAGTTTTTTCTTTCTGGTTTTTGACAATGATGTCCGGCCTATTTGCTTCAATTTTTCTGTCTGTGTGGATGGTATAATCCCATAGAATGGTGACATCTTCTATTTCTGTAACCGGCGCTGGCCGATGTTCATACCAGTGTTTGCTTACACATTTTCCAAAGTGTTTGCACATTGTCCAGTGTAAGTATTGCCCCACTCTATCGTGACGATTTTTATATTCATTTGGGGCATGTATAGAACATCCTGAGATTAGATGGTCTATTGTTTCTTGGTATTTGTCACAGAACCTGCATTTTGGATCCACATTATTATGTATGATATTTGCCTGAAAATTCCTAGTGAAAAGACTCTAATAATAATAATAATAATAATAATAATAATAATAATAATGATAATAAAATCATTAAATCGCGTTATATTTTAGTATAAATTTGAAGAAAATAATATTTGAATAAGTAAAATTAATCTGTTAAACTAATTGTTATTATAATTAATAAAAATATTACAAATTTATTTCAATCCGTAAATATTTGCTTTAATATGTTCATTTGTTTTAATTATTTCACCCCAAGGAAGGCAATAAAGCCACTAAGACGCTAAGGGTTACAGAGTGGGAAATAATATAAAAAATATAATCTGTTGAATTAATCTTTATTGATAATTGAGAACTCGTTTTACAAATTATTTCTGTTTGTCTATCTGACGGATATTCAGCCCGTCATAATATTTATTTCATTATATTTTCTGATCGATTTAGCGATTGTTGAATAAATATTTCTGCTTCAGTTTTAACGTGGAAGAATAAATTTACGTTCTGTTTTAAACTTGGCGCCAATAGAAAAAATGGCATTTTTATATAACAAAAAAAAAATTCCACACAAACAAGGATATTAAGTTTTCAATAGAATACTTTCTTTATGATTTTATTCGATTTTAAAATGCAAACGACTTTGAAGTTTGTACTATTATATTCTAATTAGAACACTATTACTTTGGCGTTCAGTTCTTTGTCATTTCAAAGGTGAATCTGTAAACGCCCAGCGATGACGTGGGCTGCCGACGGTGTTATAGCGACCAACGGTGTCGTTGTTTGAATCTTTTTTTATCGCAGCGTCTGTTTTGTTGTGCCGAAAATGCATAGCTTCCTATTGAAAGACTATTACGATCAATAACAAAAAAGAAAAAAAAAAAAACAAAGACTTCAACTTTATCTCCGAACATGACTCCTACATGTATTTATTTCTACTTTGGACGTAAAACAATCATTTAACATCATTAAATTCTTTATATTTCAAGCAAATTTCTACGATTTTATTTGGGAATATCCAAATAATTTCAATGAATCATGTCTTCTTCTCAAGTTCACTGCATAAACCAGGATGTGGAATTATCCCATCTTAGTAATACCGTCCTTCCTGTTAACGATAGTGACGAGCAGCATTCGCTATCCGATGTTGAAGAAATGCCGGCTAATGTGAACTTAAGCTCGGCCGACGATAGCTTAGGTTTGGAAAAAACGAGCTCAGGACAGTTAGCGCAGTTGTCTTCGTCTCAGGAAGAATCTATCCCGTCATCAATTGACCTTCCATCTGCATATATAGAGTCGGAAACAACGAATCCTCCCAACCCTGCCGGCCGTCTCCAGCGTTGGAAGTACCGCTTGCTCGGACAATCTAAAGTTAACACGACCGAGAAAAATACAAACGGCGACTGCCCGATCAGTACAGCTAACGAGGAACGTAAAGCCGATCCGTTTCTCGTAAGGAAATTGTTCGGTAACGGCGTCGACACCGCCAATGATATATCCGATCTGGATGTATCTGTTCCGAAAGTCAATACCCATGGTTGCAGTTTGGTCTGCTTGTCAGGGAAAGATGAATACAGCAGGTCCATTTCAAGATCCACGTTTTCCGATTCCAACATATCATTAGACCAATCCGACAATGAAGTGAAGGGTAAACACGACTCACTAAAAGACACTATTAACGGAGATTATATGGATTATGATTGTAGAATCTGTCATGGTGGCACGAGCTCAGGGCAGTTAGTGTCACCTTGTTATTGCACCGGTACGATGGGTCAGATGCATGTCGCCTGCTTAGAGCAATGGCTGGGTTCTAATGGACGAAAGGAATGTGAATTGTGCGGTTATCGCTACCACCTCTGCCGGGAACCTCGAAGCTTTCGAGAATTCCTAAAAAATCCCGGAGCTCCGAATTTAGCGAGGCACTTAAAGTGTGACCTCTTTTGTTTCGCGGTTCTGACCCCGACGACTTTGATTTCTGTAAGTCTCCTCTTGTTTGCAGCAAACCTTCTTGAGTGGCAAATGACTTGGAGCGTTGTCGGACTTATCACGACTGCCATCTTCCTTGTCATTATCTACGTCTTTTGGAGTGTCATGGCGTTTACTTACCAGCGTAAGATCTGGCAGAAATGGAAGCTCTCAAACCAGGTGGTACGCCTCAAGTGTACTTCGAAGTGCAGCTGGGACTACAATGAAAGCCATCCGGCTGCGACCGGTTCTGAACGGAGTCTGAACGTGGTGCCAGTATATCCACGTGCCTCAACAGTGACTATCACTTCGACGGAAGTAGGGTCGGATATCGATGCCCGGTTATTCGAAATCCGTTGTAATGAGTCCGAGCCGTCGGTGTCACCTTACATTTCCTTAGATCCCTACCGCCTTTCGCAGTCGTTCAGCGACATTCGAATGGCGTTGCCCTCCGTCGTCGTCATCATGTACGTTCTCCTCGAGCCCTCCCTCGTGATGGACACGGATCTGAGAGAAACAGCAGCACAAAATGTTTACCGAAAAACATTTTCAAATCTGAAGGCATTCATATGAAGGATTAGACTGGAATTAACGAGAGCGATAACGAGTCTTATTTAATCAGATGTGGATAATATATATATATATATATATATATATATATATATATATATATATATATATATATATATATATACATTCATGTTACCTTCATTGATCAACATTTGGTAAAAGTAAGATTGGCTTTTTTTTTTTATAAAAAAAAAATACTCAAATCATTATCTGCTTTCTTTCTACGTATCTGTCTTTTTTTCGTATTTTGGGAAAGAAAATATCTTCGGTGCTTACTGGGGATCTATTTACAAATTACCGCATATACTCGCATAACACGCGGCTTTTGAAGATATTATTTTTGAAGCTAATCTTAAGAGGGTCGTATCATACATGAGATATAAAATTAGCATATATACTGCTGGCCCTGTCTTTGCCGTTGACCAAAATATATATCTATTTACTGTAGTCAAATAGATAGATAAGGATTATTTATGGCCATGTCATAGGAATTTGTTTATTCATATATTTATTTGTGATTTTATATATTTCTTTTTCTCTTTGTCGCTTTCGACCACGATTAATATACACCTTGAATATTTCATTTTATCACCTGTTCTTATGAAATAAGTAATAGACCAATGTGGTATATGCAAATTTTAAAAAATAAAGTACCGTATATACTCGCGTTTCACGCGACTTTTGAAAATATAATTTTGTAGCTAATTTTAAGGGGGCCACATCATACACGAGATATAACATTAACTGTTAATGATTAACACATGTATTGCTGGCTCTGGCTACGGTATTGACCAAACTATATATCCATTTAGTTTCAAAATTAGGTATTCAATATTCGCATGATACGCGAGTATATACGGTATTTTATTTTAATGATATATTTTGTTTTATTTTAATTATTATATATTTAATATATATTTTCATAATGATATATGTATATTATAATAAAATAATATATATATATATATATTAAATTACTATTTTAATTTTAATTTAATTTAATATTAAAATATAATATTGATTAGTTATTTATTACAAATAAAATGAGTGACATTTTTTTTTATTTTACCCTAAGCAAAGAGTTAAAGATGCAAGGGGTTACTGAGAGGGAAAGAAAACGAGAAAAACCTTAATGAGAGAGAGGGAGAGAGAGAGAGAGAGAGAGAGAAAGAAAGAGAGTTGTTGGCAGCTAACCGTCTTCGGAGCTCCACTCCGGGCTTTCTCTCTGGATGTACTTCCATAGCCTTTTCCGTGATTTGAATATACCCGCAAGGCAACGGGGGTGAATTTTTTGATACCAGAGTTTTTATTCCCCCAGATGGACTGTATTCCTGAGCTGTTGAACTCCATCTACACGAAACACCCGCTTGTGAGGCCCAGAATTAAATTATTTATTGAAAAGGGAAGTCACGTGTTCTATATCGTTTTAGCAACTTTTGAAGACTTAATTTTGTAGCTAATTTTAAGGGAGTCACAAAAACACCACATATAAAATTAGCATACGTACTGCTGGACCTGGCTACGTTATTGACCAAACTATATATCCATTTAGTTTCAAAATTAGGTTTTCAAAATTTCGCATGATACGCGAGTATATACGGTATTTTATTTTAATGATATTTTGTGTCATTTTATTATATATTTAATATATATATATATATATATATATATATATATATATATATATATATATATATATATATTAAGAAATGGACAAAGTCCGACAATTAATTTATTAAAGACATTTTTATGTTTATCTATAAAAAGAACGTTAAACATAAAATGTCTTTAATATATATATATATATATATATATATATATATATATATATATTATAATTGTTGTGGATTCCGAGATGAAATTCGGTCTCCAATGAATGACAAACGCAAGAATTAAAGATAAGAAATTAAATGTATTTACACAATAATACAATGGGTAATACTGTTAGTAAATCCAGGAACGCGGTTAGTAGCAATATATATATATATATATATATAGTCTCGAAGTAGGAATTCCTTAGAGTCTACGTGCTTGTAACTGTGACTTCTACAAGCGGTTACCTCACACTATTACTCTACCTCCAACTCAATCACAATCTCTGCTCACTCTCTCTGTCTCTCCCTCTCTCTATATTCTGACTGACTCTGGGTATTTAACGGCAGCAGTCCAAGTAACACTCTGGTCGAGTCCACTTATATGAAAAAGGGGTGGACCCCATAACAATAATAAAATAATATATATATGAAATTACTAATTTAATTTTAATTTAATATATATTAATAATATAATATTGAAATATTTTAATATTAATCAGTTATTTATTACAAATACAATGACTGACATATATTACTGGTCCTGTCTAAGCAGTTGATCAAGCTATATATCCATTTACTGTAGTGAAATTAGCTTCAAAATTAGATCTTCAAATGTCGCATGATATGCGAATATGTACAGTAAATAGTAAATACTTTTTTTTTACAGTAAATACAAAATACTTTACTGAATCCTAAAACTTACTTTACGACTTTTATAAGTTTTGAAGTATTCGGTTATTTTTATGTGCTGCGTCCCTTCAGGGCGTGAGACATCATGGACTCTAAGGAATTTATGACTCGTTCCGATCATTCTTTGTTCGTGCTTTGCCATCCTTTCAAACCAGTTCGTCAGGTGGGTCAGTCGCTGTTTCCCGCTACTTCTCATTCTATCAATATGCCCTGTGAGTTTAACATTCTCCGAGTCTTCTTTCCTCAGTAGTATTAACCCGCTCTATCTGATTTTAATTACCGTATCTGAAGGCATATAAGGCGCACTTTTTTTCCTAAATATATCTTTTAAATTTCCCCTGCGTCTTATATGCCATAATTAAGTTTAAAATTCACGATAGTCGGCCGAAATTAGCTACACGGCAACTCCTATTTGCTTAGACTTTAGAGTAACTTTCATATATCTATTGTCATTATTTAAAAGGCTATTATGCAGATTAAATTGTTATCATTGATAATATTCATTATATTAATTTCAATACGTTTAATATTAGTACTTTGTTTCACTAAAATTATTTGCAATAAATTTAAATTATATATTTGTAAAATATATTTGTTTCATTAATATTTTCTTTTGATGACTTCCGGTTAGATTGGTAGAAATACAATCAGAATTTTTATATCCTAATTATTCCAATAAGACGTAGGGCACCTCAACGTTGGGTAATGGTTAGACAGCTTGTCTTGCTAGATTAATTACGACTGAGTAGTGAGTTGGATTCTCACTGGGTGCCCCCTACTTTCGGCCTTATGCCACATCTAAGCAGGGCTTAAAAAATCGCTATTCCACTGAGACGCCGGGCGGTGTAACGTCTTGCAAGCTTGTCATGCTAGCGCAGTTACGAGTGAGTTCGATCCTTACTGGGCTCCCCATACATTCGACCTTGTGCCACATCTAAGCTACGATTGGAAAATCCCTATTCTACTAAGATTTTTAAAAATGCAGGTCGTACAGATCATATAAAATTTTTTTTGACAAAATTTTAATGATAACTGTACTGTTTTGCTCAATTGTAATAATTGCTTGATATTTATTTTGTTTTCTTACATTTGGATAAGTATGAAGAATCTGCAATATTATCAGTCGTGACCTGACATCTCGGCTTCAGTTACTTTCTCACAGCCATAACGTAGCTTCTCTGTGCCTTTTCCATAAATATTTTTCATGGTAGTTGTTCTGTTGAGTTTTTCCCTTAGTGCGTTGTCTTTATGAATTTAAGCGTAGTACTACTAGTCTTTCAGATAAGTCTAATCGTTTTACTGTTGAAATAGCTAGATGAAACCGCATGTTCTATTCTAAGAGTTTCTTCTCTAGCACTTATTTCTGATAGCACCCTTTTGCTTTGCTGTCAACTAGGATCTTCAAAAATTTAAATGCAATGTCTAACCTTAAATTTTCTTCTTTCCTTGTCCTCTCGTTAATAATTACTTTTTTTTCCTCAAATTCTTTCACTCTCAGTAAACCCTTGCGTCTTAATAGCTTTATCGCATTGCTCGGTTTGATTTGGTTTGGTTTACCGCATATCAACCTCAATGGTTTATTTAAGGCCGAAAAGATTTTTATTGCTGGTAATATATTTTCCAAAAATGGGAATAATTTTTCCTTCAAAAATGTATTGTTGGTAATATTTATTTTCTTCAAAAATGTATTGCTGGTAATAATTTTTCCTTCAAAAATATATTGCTGGTATTAAAACCTATTTTTACCCTTTCATAGTGTTTTGGAGACCATAGCTGTGACCCTAACAGGTCCTACCATCCTGGGTCAGGGTGGACCTGGGAACACCAGCAATTAAGAAATAGTTTCACTCTCCTCAAAACCTCCTGATCAAAGGACTTGCTGTTGTACGTAGTTTATCATCTTTCCCAGGACGCGGATATAATATATCCTCTTACCCAGAACGACACATTGCTCGGGATGAAATGATTAAAAATAACGTTCTATTTCTCTTCAGGATCTTCTCACCGTATACACAAAGTAAACTGCTGAGAAGGTATGTTTCTGTTTTTCTGTGTTTTTTTTTTATATACTTGCTTAACTAGCTTCCTTTTCGCATATGGACGGGTTGTTCCTGGAAAAATATTGCAGATTATTCTAATCCTAAATCTCGCCTTCCCAGGAATTCAAATATTTTTATGCCTCGTACCTTATCAAATGTTTTTTTTTTTTTTTTTTGTTTATCTTTGAAAAATCCTTTAATTTCTTTTTTCGCCCGTCCCCCCTTTAATCCGGAACTAGCTTTTAATTGTTGTTCCAAGGTCCACCCTGACTCGGGATAGTAGCACCTGTTAGGGTCCCAGCTATGGTCAAATAGTGAACTTCCAAGCAGAAATCGAAAACGTAAGTATAAAAATACATTTCTACAGTGAAACTATCATAAAAGTATTAATAATACATTTTTTTTAATAATTGCCAGCAATATAATTTTATAACAAAAAATTAAAATTACCAAGAATACA